GGGGGGGGGGGGGGAATGGACAATTGCCCAGCTAACAATGGACGTGATCTTATAATAAGCCCCTGTGACACAGATGAGGAACTGATTAAATTAAGACCACATTTGCATTGGCCAGTGTAGACCTAAAAATTTATCATACTCATTTATTTATAATTAGTATACCCTAATTCATAATTCAATCAACCAAACCAACCAAATTCATTATGAACATGTTACCAGGCTCAACAAAAGAGGCAACATGTAACATAAGTTGCGTGTTGATTTGCATGCATTTCTTTACAAAAGCACATGTGAAGGTTAATTTATAACCCAAAATTTCACCGAGATCGCACACTCACGACACAGATCAATATCCAACTTTATTATGAAACAATCATTCACAGCACATTTCACCTCAACAAAGCACAGGCAAAAATTCACACTTTCCTTTGAGTGGGACGCAGACCTGTCATTATCTCAGGGAGGCAGCAATACAACCCAGAAGTCAAAACATTAGAGCTAAAAGAAAATACTTTGAGAAAAATTCCTTATAAATCAGCAACTTTCTGTGTGTTTTGAGGACACATGCACAGATGTGCAGATGTCAGCATTTTACTGTAGCCCAAACAAGAGGAAACCCCTGAGAAAAACAAAAATCTTCTCTGTGTAACCTGATTATTTCCAAAACAGTACCACAGATGGTTACATATGAGATTGCGCTTCAGTGTAAATTTTGTTTTGAATTTTGAGATGACTCCTGCAGTGTGCTGACAGTAATATTAAAACAGTGATTAATAAGTTCTTTAAACCAGATGATGCAGAAACAGTATATTACATTAGCATTCTCTTAGCATTATCAGTGGACATATTTTATGTTGTACAATTTTTTTTTTCAAATGAAATGATTTATTCTAGAAAATGTAAACAAACACGTGAACATGAATATATTGTCAGCGCACTCACAACTTCCTCTGAAGTTTGTGACTTAAAAAGAAATCAAACTCTTTGTATGTCTATTAGAGAAGACAGATCAAAGAAATAGGTTGCATAATCCAACAGTAAACCCAGTTATTGATGTTGAGGGCAAAACACTAGACCAGACGAAAAGTCAACAACTTGACCCAACAGCCATATCTGTCTTAGATGACATTTACAATAACTTAATAGTCAAACTGAATTTAGATTACATATGTAGGTTTACTGACTAAAACTTTACACTCACACTAGAATTTGATTAACTGTATATTTCTATGCTAGATTTACATACATATACCAAATATTCTGACCAGGCTTGGATCTTCTCAGTGCTGCGCAAACATCAGATCATTTTGTTCTCCGATTTGTATGTAGTGCAACTATCTACCTGAATATATCACATGTATGTGAGTTGTGATACCAGCCATAGCAAGATAAAGCTGGCGAAATAATAATTAGTTTAAGCACATTTCATTTTCTATGGTCCCTTTTTGTTGCAGCGAAACACTTCCATTCACACTGAAAGTTCACAGTAGCCACGGCAAACAAGACTGTCAAATAAACTGTCACAAAACTGTGTGAAGATCTCAGGTTGGAGATGGTTCAACATTTATATTATTATTACAAGGAAAAGTCGCCTTAACAAGAGAACAAATAAATGTTCTCGTTATTGGAAAGATAGAAAACAACCAGCGCAAATATGACCAGAAAATGTAACTACAGATATTGTGCTGTGAATCCAACCTTCATCTGTTTTAAAGACATGAATGAAACAATCTGATCGGTGCCACCAATATAGCCAGATACAGACATGGTGTCTGTACAGCTAGAAGAGAGTTTAACAGGGAAATGTGAGTTATGCCTATAATTCTTTTATCTATTTCAGGTACTGCTATCATAAACATCAAAATATTAAGATTGATTGGTAATCGTCTGGTATGATTAGAGTAAGGGTAGGGTCATTTTGGTCTAATGAAAGTGTCTCCTTCATCCACAACTGCTCCACCTGCTGGTTGTGCCCAGATGAAGATGAAGTGATACAACTTCTCAAAAAAGAATTAAAAAGACAATATGTATCAATCTGAAGAGGAGTGGTCAGTCCCGTCACCCCACTCACCCCCTCTGTTTCAAGCACTTTCCAAATGAGAAACAATTTTTACAACATGTTTCGAGTGCAGTGACACATGAGGAAGAGCTCCCTCTTTCCAGTCAGGTCTTTTGTGCCTTCTTTTCATCTGTACGAGTAGCTCTCATCATCATACTCCAGTTCAATCTCATCTTCATCCAATAGCCCGTACTTGAACTTCCGATACACCGTCCCATCTTGTCCCATGTACACAATATCTTCATCGTCGTCTTCTTCATCACCCTCACACTCAATGATCGGGTCACAGTACTCCCCAAATGAAGAGGTGGTGGGTTTTGAGGCATTGCTTCCATTGGTGTCCAGTTTCACATAGCCTCCAGTTTTGGTTTTGGGTGCTATGGAGAGTGATTTAGACCGAGCATGGGTGAAGAGGAAGACCCCTCCGCCCACAGAGAGGATAAGTAGAACACAGACAGTGACAAAGAGTCTGGCAGTGCTGCCTTGACCCTCTAAATCCACAGCGTCCCGAATCAAAAAGTTGACACCCATGATGCACTCCTCTGAGAAGAAAGGAAATGGAACAGACAATTAGGTTACATTTTGTGCACTTTTGTACAACATGATTTTGAATGAATTTATAGTCTGAAATGGCTTGAAAAACAGTGCAAATAGCTGCTTTAAAAGAAAAGAAATCTCCCCAGGGAAGCGTGGCCCTGGAGTGCTTTCCCAGTTTGGCTAAGTCCAGAATGTTTACGTCTGGATGAAAGAAAACTTGAAAAAGTACTTTTGATATGAACATTTTTAGAATCATTCTAAAATACAGTTTGGCACAAATATGAAACTCATGTGTAAACAGTGGGAAAGCTCTCAATTAGATGAATTATACAGGGCAACCATTACAAATGAAAGATGCCCTGAAAGCCTGTGACTGATGACTCACACAACCATAAACATCCAGGAACAAGCCTCAGTACAGTGATTTGTGTGTGTTTTTTCTGTAAGTCTGTGTTCCAAGTGTGGGTTCTTGTTTACCTCGTGAGGCCATGCAGTCACAGCACTCCCTGGGTATCGGTTTATCATCATGGCGTGTCTCATTTCCACAGCAGGACAAGCAGCGGCCATCATCTGACAGGATCTGGAGTGCAGGACACACTGTGCAGTTCCACATGCTGGGACCTCGGCAGTCCAGGCAGGACGGGTCACACGCTTTGCAGTCTGGCTCATCGGACACGGACTCAGAGCCCTGGAGCAACAGAAGAATTTGTTTCACTTTTCACTCATATTATCTCCAAAATACTGCTCCATGACTTACAGAGCAAACTTGCCAAAATACAGCTGTAGCTCAAATATATTATTCATCCTTTCATGAGGCAAATGTCAAAGGTTGAATATAAACAAAAACTGTTTAAGGGGAGTAAGACACGTTACCTTTGAAGCAGCATATAAGCCAACGAGACACTGGGAATTACAGATGCCACTCATGAACCTGTAGCCTTCATAACAGGACTGACAGGCCAGAGCGCCTTCATCTGCAAAGAGAAAGACAGAGATAATGAAATAACACACAATGGGAAATTGTGTCAAATGTGAAACTGGAGTTTCCAAAAGTAAAGCATATCAAAAGGCAAAGCAGAAGCATGCAATGGCTTCGAGGGAGGGGGTAACTATGATAAACAAGACATTGATTATAATAGTACTGTGAAACAAATGCTTATTTGAAATATTTTAATCTGGGGTGTCTTGGTTGCCTAGGGGTTTAAGAAACTGACCATGTAAGTATCTGTCAGCTCTCGACTGTACTCTCCAACAAAAAGGGAAAAATGCCTCCCAAAATACTTTGAATTTATATTTGTATACTCTTTACCCTTGGACTGTGTTCCCAAAAATGTATAACTACAATAGTAATCACTGAAATGGGCTTTAATTCTTGTTACAATTTAGGAAAAAACTAAAGAAGAAGCTCTGCTAGGGAATCTCATCTTATCTGGCATCAATATCCTGAGCTGCAATGTTCACATGTGACAAATTTGTCTGCAACTGCCACAAGCCATATTTCACATTTGCATACTATCATCAAAACCATCAAAGATAATTTAATTTTTGTGACTCATGAAATCCAATATAAACAATTTCAGTGTAGGAATTATGTCTTGAAAGTTCTTCTGATTTTTAAAACCCAAACATATCATATAAAAACACTGCCCAAATAAGCCATGGCTTCCTTTACCCCTGCAGGTCTTGCAGGTGGGGTGACACTTGTGACAAGTCTTAGACCGGCTGTCTGGGAAGTAGCTTGGAGGGCAGCTCTGGAGGCATTGTCCCCACTTCCTCAGATAGAAGTAGTCCTCCCGACAGTTCAGACAGTTTTTGTTACTACGACCCCAACACTTGTTACAAGATGGGTCACATCGATCACAAACCATGGTGGAGGTATTGCCAAAGTGACTGAAAAGGAGAGGGGATGTTTAGTTTGTTTTTTAATTAAAAAAGGAAAGGAGACTTTGTGTGTCTGTGTGTTCTTCCTACTTCTCTGAACAGAATTCGACACAGCTGCTTCCCTGCTTGAAGAATCCGGGTTTACAGGTGACACACTCCACACTGTGATGACCAACGCACGACTGACAGCTGAAGTGACAGCGCTCACACACTCGTTCGTCCTGGTCCTCGGCGTAGTATCCCACGGGACACTCCAGCACACATGTGGTGTCTGGTGGAAACAATACAAAGTTTTTAAAAGGAGAAGTTTCCTTTTGGTGGATAAGAAGTAAAAACATTTATTATGGAGTGATTTAAAAAATAATAATTCTGCTAACTCAGTAGGAAGTGTGGCTTGTTGCAGCTGAAGCATTGGTCTTTGCCAGGCCCAGAACACCCATGACAAGGTTCGTGACACTTTTGGCAATCCCCATTCTGGTCCATGTATGAGTGCAGAGGGCACTGACTGAACCACACACAGTGTCCGCTGGCATCTTTACGCCTGTTGGTATTGCAGGTGAGGCAGGATGACGGCTCATGGCCTGAGCAGGTCAGACATGTCTTGTCACAGTCTGGAAAAATGAAGACACAGTCAACTAATAAATACTGTAATGATGAAGTAAATTTTTTATTTTATTTTATTTTATTTTGCACCATCAAAACGAACTTCCACCTTCCCTACCTCTGCATTCATTGGTGGTCTTCTCATGGTAAGTGTTGTTGGGACACTGAGGCAGACACTCTCCATTGTAACGGACAGCTTTCGGGTTGCGACACTCAACGCAGTCATCAAGGCCCGGTCCGTCACACGACCTACAATCAGCATGGCAACGCACACACTCCTGTTGCTTCTCGCTAGCGAAGTAGCCAACGGGACAATCATCCACACACTTATCTTCATGGAGGAAGTAGTAAAGGTTACACACTGGGAGAGAGAGAAAGAAAGAAAGAGTATTTAAGATAAGAGCAGCAAAATAGTTTTGTTTAAAATGTATAATATTCCAAACTCCAGTTACTTTTATAACCAATGATGAGTCATTTAAAAGATGTTTGACTTGACGTAATTGCTTACTTAAGGCTTATAAACAATTCAGTGGTAACTGTTATAAAAATATATTATATATATATATATAATATTGAAAGTTGCCCATTATCGTTTCTGCTGCACCAAAAGCCAAAGTTTTCAATCACGTCTAGCTGTGGTTTCCAAAATGAAACCAAGGATGGATTTAAACACAAAAAATGTAACTCTTTGTAGTGTCAGCCCTCACTTCCTGTTTCTCATACTACTATACTAGTACTATACTCCATTCTTCACAAGATGCAATAAAAAGCTTGGTTGTATCTATCCTCAGTGATATATTGATATATTCAAAGTAAACTTGTACATTTAGAAAAACATTATTTATGTATTTTCCTCCTCTCCACATCTTCCATTTTTCTACTCTTCACTGCTCCGCCCAGCATACTTACTCTTACACAGACCATCTTGATTGCACTCTTTACAGTCAGCTGGACAGTGATGGCATTCTGTTTCTGTGGCGTAATAGCCCTCTAGACAGTTTGACCTGCAGGAGTGGTCCAGCAGCAAGTACTGCCTCTCACAGCTCAGACAGTAAGAGGAATTTCCCTGGCAGGATGCACACTCTGGGGCACACAGCTGGCATACACCACTTTGAGGAAACCCTCTGGGAAAGAGGCAGTGGAGAGAATGAGGTATCACTGATGTATTGTGATGTTCATGATAATAAATGAGAAATACAGGACAAGCACCTCTGACACTCCACCACACACACTCCATTCTGCAGGTAAAGCCCACTGCAACAGCGCTGGCACTGCTCGGCGCCTTGGCACATGGCACACCCTTTTGAGCAGTCTTCACACCGGTTGGACGCCTTGTTGGCAAATGTACCAGATGGACAACGAGACATGCAGGTCTGTTGAGCAGTCAAAAAACGATCTGAAGACAGAAAGACAAATCACACCATTGATACAAGAATGAGAATAAAGGACACAAAGGCTGTCAATGGTCAAATACTTTTTTAATTAAAAAGATTGATAACAAGTTTGCCTAAAACATGTAAGACAAGCCTACTAAACAGTTCGTAGTTTTAGAGGCTCTGTGTTATGTGGTATACAGACAGCAAACCTTTACCTGAGTAGCAGCTGCTGCAGTTCTCCTTCCCTGACGCTGAGCAAGTCTTACAGGACAAGTGGCATTGCTCGCATTCGCCTTTACCTGGTAAAGAGCAAACCAGAACAAAACATGTAGACACGAATGACATGGAACCGAGAAAATGAGGACGACTCATAAAATGTCATACTAACTGAAAGGATGCGAGAAGGGATGAAAAATAAATGTGTTATTTAGTACCTAATGATAGGCAGGAACATATATTGCCCTGCAACATGCTTCAATAGCAGTAGCTGACAGCAGTACTTCCAGTTTCATTTGGATTTGATGGTTATGTGAGGAAAGTTGTGTCACACTCACATTTTACAAGCACAAGCAGACATGCTTCAGTTGATTAAATTGCCTAGTTTTCCTGAAGCATAGGACATGAAATGAATTCACATCCACCCTACACAAAAGTTTAGAGGAGGGCAACATTTAGTATTCAGGTAAAAAGGTAAAATTAACATTTGCCGTACTGTTTCTGAATTGTTTCTCTGGGCAGAGAGCAAGCTGTCTGGCCTCTAAACACTCCCCATCCTTCAGTGTGAATTCCTCCTCGCAGGAGTCGCAGTCATCAAATTGTGGCCCTCCGCAGGTACGACAGGCGGGGTGACAAGGTTCACAGCCCTGGCTCTCCTTATCCACAAAGAAACCTTCTCTACAGTGATCCACACATTCTCCATCTGGACACACAAATACATAGTTTTACTTCTTCTGCATTCCTTCAAACACATTATTGTAATGAAAGAAATCATCTCCGAAACTTAGAGGTCATAGAGGTCAACAGATGGGGTATTTTACTGTGATTTACAGTATACAGTTCTTTAAAACATTTTTAAAAATAGCATCTGGAATGGCCACTAAATTACAGTTTTTATATCACCATCAGATTCAGAATTTCCCAGAAATGTATGTAAGTGGAATGGTTAAAGATTCTGAAAACAGCAAAGTGATTATTTCTAGTGTCCGCTTCACCCTGTCTTATTCTGGTCCCAGGAGTTCAGATAATAAACACACTTAACATTTATAAAAAATTATAAATGGTTCAAATGTTACCAAAGACGTAAAATCCCACTTCACACCAATAGCACTGGGACTGGTCACAGTTTACACACTGTTTGTCTTCGCACGGAGCACACACCATGGTGTCGTCCCTACTGTACGTCCGATCTGGACAGGAATGATGGCAGTCTGTGCCTAACCTGACAGACAGACAGAAAGATGGAAGTATTAATATGAGAAGGTATGAATATGAGTGTACAACTTCTAGATAAAACTCTCAAGCGAAGAGACTTACTGGTAGTAACCATCTTCACATTTGAGGCAAATCGTTTCCTGCGCATGATCTCCTGAATCCTCTAGAAGAGCAGAAATTAAAACAAAAATTTAACAACAGATCAGGCATATTGTGAATTCTGGACTCGGTGAAATGGCTCTGTTTTAGTTTCATCAAAAGGTGAAATTCCTACTGGATTAGTGGACTAGTATTAGTTGAACTTTTGTTCAATCCATATTTAAATATGATATAGGCCTAGTTTTACCCTTTTTGTTCTGACATGTGTAGAGGTGAAGCAGCAGTCCTTGTTTTACTGCTGTCATCACCAGATTTCAGGCATTTTTCTCTAGCTCTCCTTACTAAGAAGGGTTAAAAAATACATATAAAGATAATATTACTACGGTGGGAACTGTAAGTGGTTGGCTGTTAATGTGATTAAAATGTGGAAATATGGAAATCTTATATCCCATCTCATCTACCATGCATGCAAAGGCAGCATTGTGATTTTTCTTAACCCAGTTTCCCTTAACACCAGCAGGAGGCACTCTGACAACACACAACAAATGTGTTCAGTCCACTGTAGAACTGAATGGCACGGTCAGATCAATTACCAGCTCAGTGTGATCAATATAGAGCTAGCAAACAAATCTAACCCACAAGCCTTCCAACAAACGTTAAAGTCAAACAGTCTACAGGCATTTCAGTTCACATCTATAATGTCTGTTTCTCTCATCTTCGGGGAAAGTCAAAAGTCAGATGCTGCTGCTCTGTTGTATTCTGCAGTGGGTGTCATTTGTGTGTTTCTGTTCAACTTGAAAAACACTAGGTGTTATTATGCTGAACGACACAAAAACAAGCATAATGTCAGTTACAGGTTGTGTAAAATACTCAGATATTTGCTATTGATGTGGGGATTTGCTTGTTTGTTTGTTACCGGAGACTGGGAAACATATGCAGGAGTAATTCATATACATATACCAAATAAGAAAGTTAATTTTCCTTCCAAACAGATCAATTCCTGCTGTTAATGAAGACCAACTTGTATCCACGCTGTCATCCCTTTGACCAACAATGTCAAAATATGGATAATAAGGACAGAGTGAGCAAGAAGGGGGGTAAGAAGAAGAGAAAGAAAGGATCAGACAGGAAGCAGAAACAGTGAGGGTAAAGGGGAGTTAGAAGTGGGGAGAGAAAGAGATGGAAATAACTACTAAAAAAGCACCTTCTGCAGACTTTCCCTTGGGACATTCATCCTCTCCAGAAAAGCCTCCATCGACCCCCACACCCCATTCCTCTCTTAGTTTCCTTCCAGCACCCACAACTTAACACTGCACTGGTTTGCACTTCAATGCAGTCGACAAGCCACTACCTGTGAAAGCAATTACTCATACAGAGTGGGACTGGGAGAAAGGAAAGGTGGGAGGGACAGAGAAGCCGGAAATCATGCCTTCAGGCTGTGTCTGTGTCTTCTGAAGAGAGAAAATAGCGCCCGCATAAATATTAACTGTGCAAGCTAAGGGATGAGGGATTTCAACAGAATTGAAACTGGCATACACATCCTGGAGTATGCACTTGTGGAATGTGTAAGCACGCATGCACACATTTACAGTCTACAAGCTACATATCACTTACACATGACATACATGGAGATGTGCAGGATCAAACACTGAAGTGATTTGCACTCAGTCTCAGTAAAAAGTGGGGATGGATGAACTCAGTTTTATTATCACCTCAGATCGTCACTTCAGTGGAAAAAACTGACTTTATCGAGACACGTTTGAGAAGTGGATTGCTGATAGAGAAAAAGAGAATAGATGTGTGAATATGATGAAGCAAACCATTCATGAGAAAGACAGCTTTTTTTCCAAGCTCAGGAATGAGCTGCACAGCATTGAATCAGCTGAACACTGGAGGTGAGACAACAGCATGCCAACAGTGGTGGAAGGGTGCATTGCCAGTGTAAATCATCTAGTTTTGAACAATGAAGGTTTAGCAATCCTTAACAATGAAACGAAAAAACCTCTTGAGATGTTGTAAGCAAAGGAATGAAAGAAATAGGAGCACAGAGGCCCAGGGAGGAGGACTGGAGATGTTTCAGAGAAGAACTTTGATCACACAGACACAGGTTAGAGATGTGTCAGCAGGGGTGCCCCGTAACAGAGGAAGACATGAAGCCATGGGCCAAGGATGGCAGAGATAATGAAGGTTTTTATCCCTGGAAAAAGATATCTTCTGGTGGACCCAGGGCAGCTCCAGCAAGGATTCAGCCTTAATTAATGGGGCGCCAGCTCTACAAGGTGACCTACATACCTATATAGTTTGTACATACAGCCCTAATTCTATTTTTTCTTGATATCTTGTATTTTTTCTATTTTATTTTGTTATTTAATGTGTATTTCTTCTTGTCTTATCTGTTGTGTTAGGTAATGATAACATTTTGGGGTGAACTTTTATTTATTTTTATTTTTTTATGTATTTTTTTTGGCCTTTTATTGCCTTTATTGATAGGGACAGCTGAAGATAGACAGGAAAGGGGGGTAGACAGAGAGGGGATGGCACACAGCAAAGGACCGCAGGTCGGATTCGAACCCTGGGCCGCTGCAGCAACTCACCAGCTCTACCAGGTGAACTAACCGGGCGCCCTAAACTTTTATTTTTAATACACAATACTGCATGTCTTATTCCTAACCTGTTAATTATCCTAATTTTGTATAATATGAGAACTACACCCAGATCCTAACCTCATAAAAATTGGGGAGTATCCAAAACTGCCTGTCTTCACATTTCTGTAAATGTCTAAAACTGTCAGTCATAAGCACAGAAATACGTAGTGTAAGCATGCACACACAGATATTACATGCCAGGCTCAGACACTACACGTTCTGTTTCATCTACACTTTAGCCTGTAGCATCGCGTCACAGGGCCAATCATCTCAAATCTCTAATCTGCTGACTGACTTGTTTAGCTTGCAGAATTGTGATTACTAAGAGCGGGTGGGTGGCAGGGAGGCTGTGGTGGGGGTGAGAGTGAGGAAAGATATTCCAGCCAGAATGCATAATGACATAATAACAGCCCGTCTCCACCTCAGACTGGTTCAGCACAATAACAACTTTCTATGGTATGCCGGTAACCATCTCTGGGTGAAGGAAGCGCTCTTGTCTTTATGTGGCTTGTACTGACAGGGTGAGGTGTAAGAGCACATTGGATGAGATTTAGGGAGGACTCATCCTGTATGGTTTTCACAGCATTGAGAAAAGAACCAACAAATATTATTCAAAACACTGTTCAGAAAAAGCAAGGTTTAGTTTTGCTGTATAAAAAGCTAATGTTGATTTTTTATATTTACTAACAGTATGCCGGGAAATATCAGTGGAAGGACAAATAGTTACTGGCAGCATTTACCCAAGAGTGGGAAATGTTTGTTTTTTTAACCCTTTGTGGGATAGATAATGTCTGCTTCTGACATAAATTAGATTACAGGTAGTTTTCCTTGTGGAAAAAGTGCAACTGCGAAAAGTGAAAAATATCAGATTTTCTGCACCTTTATGAGTCCAGATGTATCATCTTCTAATGGCCTGATCATTAAGGAAATCTGCAGTTAAGTTCTAAGAGAGTATATTTGTCCAAATGACTTCCCTAATGAATGAGGCCTATTAGAATAGACAAAATGTTCATTACTTACTGAACACCGTATATTTTTTATAACTAAGCTCAGTTGTCTGGGCTCATATAAGTTAATTCATGAGGATGTATCTGCAATAATAGAGAACCTACAGCAAAAGAGTGAGGTGCAACAGAGATCAGTGGCAGCATCATTAGTAGTATCATTAGCACCTCAACTCACAACGACACTGTCAAAACACATTTAGTACAGTAAATCTTCCTTCATTAGGTGTTTGGGTTACACGCTTTCCCAACATCTCACTGTATCTCACTCCTGAAGAATGAAATGATATAAGTCTTCAACTGCTAAAACAGTAAATGTGTTTTTTCATCTACAGTCACTTTGTCTGCAATATATGTGTGCCATATATACGACTACAGTATATAGCTCCTGCTGAGCTAAAGTGCACTTGGTTTTATCTCTACAATTTGATCGATGAAGAAGGTGAAAGAGATAGGAGGAGAGAAAGTGATGAGTGAGAATAAAATGTGGTCTGCTTACTGCGTTTACACTGCTTGCAGCCCTCGTCACAGTGGAGACAGTCCTTGTTCTCTGCATCGGCAACCTCACCTGGTGAAAAAAGCAGATAAAAATGTGGATTAAAAATGCAGAACACATAAGAAAATGGTGATGAAATGACTAAAGATTAGATTAAAAGAAGAAAACTTTAAATGTCCATTTTGTGAATAGTATTAGAGCTAGTGTTTAGTTTGTCCATTCTGAACTACTGTAGAAACATGGCGGGCTCCATGGAAGACGACCCGCGGCGTTTGTAGATATAAAAGGCTCGTTCTAAGGTAACAAAACCATAATAATTCTTAATTTCTCAATCAATACAGTAAGAACGTGCTGCTTTCATAGTGTGAAGAGAGGAGAATAGAAGAGAAAAACTACCAAATAAATAGTCAAACAAGCACAACTGAATCGTCCACACAAGTTAAAGTTTTGCCTACTCCACAGTTCAAACTGTCTGCGGGACCTGTTAAGACCTGCCCTTCTCATATGATAAGAATTTTGTTTCATCCTCCCTCTCAAACAGTGTATATCCTCACGTACAAACTCTCAACATTGCTCTTCTCCCTCTCAGTTTTAAGTGCGTACCTCGACCTCTGCTCCTTATCTCAAAAAAACATCTCACTCAAAACATTTCAGCTCTTTCTCAACCCTCCTTCGGCTGGCACTGACATTTGATCTCATAGAATGAGATAAAGCTCAATGTGTTCATCTTTCATAATCTCTCTGAAGATTAAAATAAACTTGACAAATGTTCTTTAGTTGAAGAGATTAAGAGCAGAAAGTAAATGCAAGAACACGTTGGTATCAGGCAGGCCTGGATACAGTAGATGATAAGTCATTGGCTTTGTTTGACTGGTCAGGCATTTATATTTGTTTCTTTATCTAAATAGTTTTTCTGTTTTATAGAAGCAAGGGACGTGTACCATTTAAAAATTCAGTGTTTTTGTACTTCTGTTATTGTGTTTATGCTTTATTAAATTGAGTTTTGTGGCCATAGGTTTTTCTTTTTCTGACAATATGCAGATTCCTTCATTGACATCTGACATTCCTTCCAAAGCAACATAGAAAATTACCAGAATATTTTTTTGTTATCTTCAGAAGCTTAAAATTCCTCTTCTTTTCCTCCATTTTTCACACCTGACACTGAAATCCAAATACTTTTAGTACCACAGTGTACTAGTTCTAAGAATAGTTTCCTATTCGTTGGTCAATCCATAAATATTTCTATTAAATTGTGGCTTGGAGCCCTTGTGTTGGAATATTTTCTTTTGGCATGTTTTGAATTTGAATTTGAATACTTTAAAATTAGGCCACTGTGCTACATTAGTGTTCCCTGAGGTGATGTTTGCCTAATTCGGCCCAATTCTGTGAAAACAGTGGCTGGCAACTGTTATAAAAATCCCTCCCAAACTCTTCATTTATTCAACAATAGTGAGGTGTAGATGACATATTTTTTTATTCATGCTTAGTTTTCATTATACAACATTACTGAAAGTGTTCATCTCTGTAGAAGTCACCCACCTATTCAGCATTTCTTCAGTGATGTCAGTAAATTAACATCTAACAAATCTCTACTAGCATCTCTCACCTGCACTGCACTCCAACGGGACACACCGACCATTTCTGAGCCTGTGGCCTGAACTGCAGTGGAGGCAATGATCTGCTGCTGTACAGATGATGCAGTCTGCAGGACAGGATTCACACCGTTTCCTTGCAGAGTGGAAATACCCCTCTGGACAGACATCCCGACACTGACCCTGGAAGAAGTACCTGGCCACCCCAAACCTGTCTAGATGGACAAAGAAAACAGAAGGAAATCTGTATGGGAAATGCTGTGAGAGATAAGAACTCTGACAAGTGAAGAACAAAGAGTGCTGATGCACAAAACAGGTATGCAGACAGACAGGGAGTCATACACATGTAAGCAGAAACAGAAAGTCAAAACACAGATTGCTTTATGTGTGTGAGTGTAATTTCATGGCCGGGCTTGTGTGTGCATGTGTTATTTAAAATGGACACTTTCATATTTTTGATTATCCATCTCTTTTCTTCCCTGTTACACTCCCTTCTTTCATTTTTTACCCTTTAGAGACAGCAGGTGTGTGAAACTCCACATTACCGTCACAGGTCAGTATCAGATATTGTCTGCTCAGTACAAGTATGCCTGGGTGTGTGTGTCTGTGTGACTGGCCAAGATAGGAGAGGTTGACAGATGGAGGGTCTCTTCATGTTATTATTGTTATGTCTCATTGAGTCTCAGACAGACCTGCAATTAAATGGAACCACATTTGCAAACACAGTCTGACAAACTTGCCGGCTAATTGAGAGTGTGTGTGTGTGCGCACATGTGAAGTGATAGAGAGAGAGTGTGTGTGTGTGTGTGAAGGGGAAATCTGGTGTTAATCTTCTCCTTGGCTGTCTGGTTTCTTAAAGTGTGTGTGTGTGTAGGTGGGTGTGTGCGTAACAGAATCTCCCCAGTGTAAATACATTCGTTCTGACAGCCATAATACTGTCTGTGACACTGTGATAAACACAGTTATTACTACCACCCTCAAGTTGATATTTCTTCAGCTGTGAGGCTCTAATGACGTCGGGTTTTATCATAACGATTGTTTTCACACTGATGAAGAAGGATTGGCTGCACGGGCTCCTAGTATCGTAAAACTTACCAGAAAGCAGAAGGTAAGATTCTCAAAAGAGAAAAAAAGTCATCAAATCCAGACACAGCTTGTCCTTTAACTGAGTTAAATCCTGAGAGATGAGTGACCTCTGCATGAGGATACAACGAACAAATGACTGATTCCCCCTTTTAACACATCTATCAGCAGGCCTTGGCTGAATTACTGCTTTAATTAGATTCATTTACTTTTAGAGGATTGATTGGTGGAGTCTGGCACAAATGAGCCTTGGCTTGATCCATATGATGTTATGAAAAAGCACGATTTCACTTACATTCCAGTCACGGCGAGATGGATGGGTTTTTAAGTGAACACCAGTGCTCCTCTGCAAAAAACTACCTGTGTCACTTCAAATGCTAAGAGCGGACAGGTTTTATATGGTGGGAATTGTTCAAATATATTAGATTGTATTAATAGTTCAATCTGCAATAACTGCAGCTTTATCCTGTCAGGTAAAGTAATGCCATTTTCATTGACACTATGAGAAATACAAAGCTGTTTTTTGGGGGGTTGAAAGTGCTTTACATAATCAAAAAAATTAAAAAGAAATCACCATCAGAGCGGTTTAAAATCTTAATCTAGGTTAGTGTACCTCTGTCACAGCTAGTGCAGTGTTCAGGTCCCTCGTCAGTACACTCCTGGCAGGTGTGGTGACAGAGATGGCACTGCTTCTCCATGGCATAACGTCCCTTCTGACAGCGAATGTCGCAGCGTCCATCATCAAAGAACCTGCAGGTGGGCATGTGGTTCATAATGAATATGCAAAATTGAGAAATTTACAGTGCAGTGCTTTGTTTCTCCTTTAGAATAAGCATTATTGAAACTTATTTTAGGGGGAAAGCTATTCAAACAGTGATACAAGTTCTTGTAATAAGTAACTTTATACATTTGTATTTAAGGTTGTTTAAAACGTCTACATCTAACATCACTACTACTGGTGAGTGTCTGTAGTGTTTCTATATGATACAGTGTATACAAAACAAATGTCAGTTCTTAGTTCTTCGTGTATGTTGGTTGGTTGTATTGAAATAAAGCAAGTGACCTCGTCAGCAGTATTACTTTGCATCTTTTGAACATAAATGTCTGTAAGTCAGTGGTTCTCACCGTGTTGGAGGGCAGCTGGTGCAGTCCTCTCTTTCTGGACCACTGCACTGAAAGCAGGTAGCATCACAAAGGTGGCACTTTTCATGTCGACTCAAGTACTCCCCTGCAGACGGAGAGCAACAGTGAATGGCAAGATCTCACACCTGCTGCCTGACAAATTCTGCCTCTAAAACCATTTTTCCTGGAAAAACCTCTTCAGCTAGTTTTTCTAACTAATTACGTACTTTTGTTGCTGCATGCTTTGTTTTTATTTGTTTACCAGCCTTGTTTGCTCACTACTTCTTTTTCCTTCACTGAGTGACTTGAGTTGATGCTGTGATGCGTCCTAGTTGCACCAATTATAACCGACAGTCAGTTGTTATTGTTTTCATTTCATTGAAGGTCCCGCTCATTATCCTCTGGCTTCTGACACCTCCTGCACAATAAAAGTTATATCACTTTTTGTTGTCTTCTTCTCTTTGACTTGTTTTTGTATTGTGCAGAAGCATCTTTGAAAATGTCAGTCTCAGATGTACTTTCTAATTGCTGAGTGCTTTGACGGTAGAAATACGATTTGGATCTGAGATATTTATTTGGCCCCTTGCGAGCTTGAAGACAAGGTGAAGATTCCTAAAACAACTTGAGACTTTTTAAACAAACACACAAGCATTAAATTACACTGCATTCTGTTGTTTAGACTAGATAGCTAAGAAAAGCCATACACACCTCTATAGGTGAACTTCTTGTCTAGGGCATCTAGACTGTTGAAAGGATTGCTTGGCAAGAAAACTCCATGTCACCACTGTTGTGTGGGATCTGGTCTGGTACCAGTTAATGTAAATAAATACATTCATTTTAAGACTAATGACAGGGTTTTTTTAATCACCAAAGGCTGACCTGAAAGTGCAATTTTATTCATCATGTCCACAACAAAAAATAGTTTTCCATGTTTGTGAAGATTCCTGCCACACACATACAAAGATATGCAGTTTAGGTGAACTGTATACTAAGAAACAATTGAATGTATGTGTCTTGTGTACTCAACTAGGGCCTTTGCAGACCTTGAACAAGACAAGCTGAGAAGATGACTGAAAAATACTTTTTTGTGCTTTACAAAACTAGATTTGAGCTTAAAAGGGCCCATTCCATAAGCAATATTCTTGACAACCTGTATTAGCAGGTAATGGTAACGTCAGCAGCTTCATGGCTCAGATAAACTTGACGGTGAGAGCTTGCTAATTATAGCAGAGATGCAACATAATCATCTACCATATCATAAAGCCACATTCTCTAACAATATGCCTTCCTCCATGGCCACATCCTCCACTGCTGAAAATGCTGAAAATGTGCGTAGGTTTTGGGAGGTCGGAAAGTTATTGTTGCAAAATGGAGTACAGGCTGGAAATTGAGTTTTGCGCGCCAGAAATCTCAGCACCTGGCAAACCAATTGTTGAGTCACTGACACTAACCAAAAGCAATATCACACTGCAGGTAGATATTATCATTGTCATTATGCAATATGCAGCAGTATAAACTATACTTGCTGCATGATTGAGTGTTACGTAAACTTTGGTCACAGTCAACCAGGACACACATAATATGCATATAAGCTATTGTGTCCAAAGTTGCAAGAGGATTAAGAAAAAGGTTCTAAAAAAACCCATTAACCTTCAGCTTCACACTTGGCAACATTGAAAAGAGCCATAACAAAAGAGGCATAAACATTGTCTCCTATCCCACCTTTGTATTAGACAAAGGTGACAGACACTGGCTCAGGCATAAGGATGGAGCTGTGTGTGTTTGTGTGTGTGAGCATCCTTCAAGGCAGCGGCGAGGTTGTCTGAGCTCTCTGGCTTTCTGTGAAAAGCTCAATTGTTCCTTTCAAAACAAAAGAGCTTCTTTGTGTACAAACACAACAGGCGGTGGCTTCCCATTCAGCAGAGCTCTGCTGAAACCATTCAAACAGTCCCCGAATAAACGCCGTCACTCTCCCTCACACACACACATACACACACACACGCACACAAATTGTCTCCCTGTCTCTCTGTTTGTCTCCCCCTCACTCACTCACACAAACAAACAGGGAGCCAAGTTCTCAAGGGACGGAAAGCCGCACAACTCCACTCAGCAAAAGCAGACACTTTGGACTCCCACTGCCAGACGGGAGAAGAATGGAGCGGAGAAGAAAGAGAGCCTGTCACTCAGGGGAGTAAAACTTTTCCTCTGTTATGGACTCGGCTGACCTTGTAAGGACATTGACAGTCTACTCTGTTAGGAGAGAGAGCTCTGTTGGCAGATATCACACTGACATCTACCACACCTGGTCTTGAATCCCAATTCCTTGGCCCTTCCACCTCCTGATACCTGCACATACTTGGTCCAAGAAAGTAGAAAAAAAGGTATACTCACTACACTCTGCAGGTGGTCAAGAGAATATTAACCACATTGTTTATCTAATGTTGTGTATTTATTACCACAGGGAAGTGTTCCTTCTTCTTCACCTGAGTTAAGTTATACATTATTAATCCATGTGGGCAAATTTGTCCTCGGTATTTCACCTATTCTTACTATTTAGCGAGGCAATGCCTTGTTCAAGGGCAATGTCAGGATTATTACCAAACATGCATGTCTTTTAGGATGGGAAGCTCCTAAAGACAAACAAAACACATACTGAAAACCACTCAGTACAGACACTCCGGTAAAAGTACTGATTCAACTTCTTTACACAAGTAAAAGTGAAAAAGGTACAGGCTATAAAATGTTCTCAAAGTATAAAAGTACTTTCTTGGTTTCCCTCGTCTGTTTTGTCTTGATACGTGTTTACATCTTTTTTATGTAATTTTTGTCATATTACGTCTGTCATGCCATGCATGATATGAACTGGTGTTGATGTTGGGATGGTGTGCAATGATGCTAATATATATATATACATATATATATATTGATAATGATAATTCTCTTTAAAAGCAATAAATCTAGAGTAACAAGCCTGTTTTTTAAAATGTAAGGAGCAAAAACTATAGATATGTGAAAATTTAGGGGATAAAAGTAAAAAGTTTATCATGGCTCCTCACATGATTCGAGTGGCAGCAGAGGCCAAAAATTTGAAGGATGATGTTAATTATGGCCAGCATCAGCACTGGGGAGAGCTCAAGCCATGACTCAGGGGGCACACTCCTTACAGGAGTTTTGTCTGGATTAAAATCAGTATATATGTGCAAGAATCTGACTTTATTTTTAAATGAAGGAGCCCATAGTAACTAGAGAAAAAAAATTCAGATTTTTTTAGTCTTGTAGCATTCCCAGAAATATTGTGCAGTTGGTGTATCCGTTGGCACCAGGACAAGACACCTGTGTGTGCAACTGTAATAATTGTGTAACCTGCAAATCACCCATGTTGAGTCACTTGCACCAGTGGGTAAAACAAGCTTTTCTGTTTCAGTGAGAAAAAACAGCATAACCTTAACAGCACCAATGAGCCCCCCTAAAAATAATCATTTAAGCAAAATCCACACTCAAAGAGACACATTACACGTTCCACAACATAGATAGGAACAAAAAAAAATGTATGGAGATGACAGGGGGTTGAGTCTACAGTTAAACACCTGCTTTACTGTATATAGTAGAGATATAATATCTAACAACTAACAATAATCTAACAATAAATAGCTTATGGGTAAAAAAATGAAACTATTCACAAACAGGAATTCTATTATCTTTCAACATTATTTGAATTGTAGCCCTGAAGTTGCTGATATCCTGATCCTACGATATAAATTCCAGCTGGATGGAAAAAAAAGAAAAAGACTAACTATAAAATAAGTTCTACATTGAGGCAGATTTTTATCCCTCTCATGAATGTAAAATAGTTTTGACCTAAATCCACATAAGACAATATAAATTTGCACCTATAACAGTGCAGCAAAACACTGCTTCACTGACCTGTTTTTAACTTCTGCCTAATTGTCATTGAGTGCACATGTCTCCCTTTAAGTGCTCTGCCTGCGGCATGTGGAACTTTCATTTAATCAATCTGATCGAGTGCTGAAAACCTAAAAGTTTCTGAAAGCAATGATCTGAATTTCAATGTTTTTCTCTTTCATGAATTTGAAAAAAAAAAAGACAGAAAACAGGGAACCTAATGTTTTGGAAACGGATGGATGAGAATTTGATGAACAAAACTGCTAATGGTAGAAAAAATACTGATTATTACACTGTTGACATAATTAGAACAGTGTATTAATGAGAACTGAAAAGAAAACAAAAACATGAACAGATTAAACATTTTAATAAGAACACTTAAGTAAAAAAAAAAGATTTTCAAAACTAGGACTTTGAGTAACATTAATAATGCATTGTCACAGATATGTCACAGGTACACAATAAAAACAGCTTTTATAAGAGGGGTGTGTGTGTGTGCGTCTACAACCACACAATCTAAAGTCAATTCAAGTCATCTTAAACAATGACCAAGAATAAGTTTTTGTTAACCAAAACAGGGGAGTCATCAATCTTTATTACAAATCAAGAACCATAACCAGTTGACAGTACAACAATTCATCTAATACTGTAAATGCTCAAGCTGCAGGTTTGAAAACCCACACAAATAGAATAAGAATCTTAAACATTATATTTGCTGTTGTTTATCAGAAACCAGCACCACCAGAATAACCTTTGAGTTTCATCAGGTAAGGTTCAAAGACAGACAGGAGGAGAAACCAGACATCAGAAGTCTGTCGGCCTCAACACAAGTACAGTTTTGGCTCAATGTGATTTAATATTTGACACACTCCTGGTTCTGCAGTGTTTATGTCTGTTCACTTTCAGTTCTAACAATAATAATGTGAACAGAAAAAAAAACAATTGATTGCCTCATTGTGTTTGCCGATTTTACTTGGGTTGATTGAACACAAATTTCTACTGCCAAATGTGTTTCTATATTAAACTTTTGAACAAAATCCCTTTCTCTGATACAACTGAAAGCAAAACTGTCACACCTCTGATCTGCACCACAACGGTTTGCTGTCTGTCTGCCTGTCAGAGACCTTTACCTGCAGATAAAACATGAAAATGACTGTGCCGATCATTAACCTTCTGTGTTGAAAGAGTAGAGAAATACTTCAGTTGATATGCATTTCCATTACAATGGAATGACGAAGAGTAGAAACATCTAAAACTCTATTTTATTTGAGAACAGTAACATGTAGGGATGCACCGATACAGATTAAATATAATTACTGGACAAAATTCCCTTTATCTGGGTTACATATGGCACGTGGAAAACCAAACCAACACAGAAAAAAATTTCCTGTAACAAATATGAGTTATATTTAAATGATTTTATCCAGTGACAACAAAGTAATGGTGGCGTTTTTTAAATTGTTCAGTCACAGTAATGGATGGAATCAATACTCAGTTTTGGGCAAAAGTTTAGTCTCCCGAATCTGCATCATGGGTGAAAAATGGGCATCGGTGCATCCCTAGTACCACAAATTTATTATAACTCACTGCAGCGTTTCCTTCCCTGCAGAAAGCTCCAGAAGGAATGACTATCGACTTGTCTTGTAGTACCTCTGGAATGAATCAATGCTGTCTGGGCTTACATTAAGAATTAATGGCATTCTCCTATACACACCAATAAAGAAACACACACACTATTCAGAGGGAAGATTTATATTTTTTAAATAAATGAAATGAGGTGATTTTGGTCAGTAACGTGCATCAGTCTTGGGATACGGTGACACTGTAGCATCTAACTTCAAGTGGTGGCTGATTTATGTGTCTGAGTTCATGTTTATAAGCGTATGTGTGTGGTACATATATATCTTACGTCTGTGTGTGAGTGTATAGAACTGCGTGTGTGTGAATTTGTCTTCCCTCCCCTAAACAGCCAAAGTCAGCCCAGACAGACATTATTTTCACATTACTGAGTGAGCTTCTTTTTTTTTCCTTTGACGTATATTTACAGGCAGAAAACCAGGGCCTTTCCTACTGTATGTTCACTTTCCATCTGTTTATCGTTAACACTGGAAAGAGAGGAGGAAGAGGAGCCAAAATAAAAATGCACACAGACTTATTCAGAGATTCACAGGCTGAGTGGCTCCTGTTTTAAGCTATGCTTCCTACACTGGCAACAAAAAAGAAGGTTCAATTATTTTGGCATCGATGCTTTGGTCACAAAATACCGACACTTTTATTCTTTTGTTTGTTTTCGTTTGCTCTTGAAATAAGTCCCAGTCATTTTACACCCTGACCACGTGTGTGTGTCCCAGTACAGAAAAAAGGTAGGTTTGTTGTAGTCCTGTCATCGCACCTCCGATGCAGTCCCTTTAAGAGGCACAGATTCTCTTATAAATTATGTGACTGTGAATGAGTGGGCAGGGGGTTTGAGAAGGAGGGGTGCCCCCTGTGCCCCCACATCCCCCCCGCACTCCCTTTACGCCCAGTGAGTACGTCCCGTCACCCCTTTTGCGAGCACGTTCTGCAGCACAGGTGCTGCAGCACTTTCCTCTGGCAAAGATTGTTCTTTTTAACGAGCACGCAGAAACTGCCTTCCGCCCAAGATTCTTCATTTGCTTTCCACAGACCAGGAAGAAGAGATACAGGGGGAGTTTGGAAGGAGGGGAGGGGGGTGAAAACATGCACACACAGACAAATACATGTGGAAACACACATTCAAACACACACACACACAGGGCAGAACCATTAGAAATGGTTGAATGGCAGGCAGAGCCGTGTGATTGGTCAAGAGGGTTCAAATGACAGGAAGAGTTTTTTTGATCCAATCACAGGTGATGTTCATCGAGGTGGAAAATGATTGTAGTCCAATGGAGTGATTGGATCCGTGTCAGGAGAGAGGGAAAACAGATTTGGGAGAAAAAACAGAGAGAGAGAAAAAACAAACGTCACACAATTAGAATATTTAAGATATTTTTAAATTCATAACTTTGTGTCATTTGCATCACAGAAAACTTAAAGTGCACCACCAGTCTGTAAAAACTGAAAGCCAATTCTTTCATTTATCAACAGCAATTTCAGTTTTGAGCCAATTAATCTGTCACCAATATGAAATCAGTTACCTTTGGTTTAGGAAGGTTGGAAACAGACAAGTGTGTGCACTTCAAGCAAAGTAAAATTCATAGGATGTAAAGACATTTTTCTCCTCTGGGCTTTATTTCATCACAGCCTGGGAGACTTTTTCAGCCATGGGTTCATTTTAACTAGCAGGTTTTGGCTCTACCAGCAAATCACAGGCTGCTGTCGGAGCGTCATAATCAGCCAGTTAGTGAGAAATACTATTATAATATTTATTTACACTCAAAAGATCCATAAGCCAAACATGCATAATTTGGAAAAGACTACACCATAAAGCACAGCAAACAATCAAGAGGGCAGGAAAAGACACAAGAGAAATCAGACAATTGTGTTAGAGGAACAGGTTATAAGGATCAAAAGAAAAGAGAAGAGTAAGTAGATGCTTAAAGAAACTTTTCAGCCTATGCAGTGTGACAAAGTACAGTGCAACAACCAGGAAAAAAAGAAAAGGTTTATGTTAAAAAAAGCAAGAATGTGTGAGTGTGTTATCCCATATTAATAATATGCAGAATATGAATAAAACCTTTTGATAAAAAACACAAAAAGGCAAAAGCAAGGACAGACCGCCTTCCTGCTATGAAGCTACAACAATGAGAAGTTTGATTGAAGAAGTTAGTACAAACATAAAAAATAAGGCCACAGGTGAAACCTTAACTTTTACTTAATAAAGCTACCTTGCACATTCATTTTTAATACCCTGTGGGATATAAAGCAATTTAATTCATCTGGAGAGAGTTTCAGAGAGTTGAGATATAAATCTGCACCTCTGAGGCCTGTGCCTCTTTAATTAGCTGGGATTGTTTAGACCAGACCATTTGTGTAGTTTTGCATTTAATATTTTGGAAAAATACTATAAAATACATTATGAAGTATGTTGTAACATGACCCTGTCTAATTCAATGCTCTAGTTGGACTAAGTCTCAGAAATATCACTGCGAACCATACTAGTATGCATTATGATTGCCAGTGAGACGTCACAAGTATATAATAAACACACTGAGGCCATCTTGTAGATAAGAAAGCTGACAACTCACCATCTTTGCAGATGGTGCTGACCACGCAAGCTCCTGCCTCCAGATTGTAACCACTGACACAGCTGCTGCAGTTTCTATCACCGGGCCCCAAGCACTCGTAGCAGCTATGGTCACACCTATTGACAGTTGTATAAAGAATTAGATACTTGTTTATGCAGCACTGTGCACAGATTTCTTTGCCTTTGTAGTGATTGATTTTGTTTTCACACTGCTCCCCAATATACACTTAAAAACCACTCAAACTATAAGGAAACTGACTCTTAGTCAGTCTCAAATACTAAAGAATATAAATCATTTCAACACAGTAACACAAACCTTAAGACGATGATACTATACTTAAGTGTGAGCTAGAATATCTTACAGTCATATTGAATTTAGAATAAAAATTAACTGCAAAAAGGGAGAAAACTATTTGTGTCATCCAAGTAGACATTTAAACATATTTGATTTTTCGTGCTAATGTTACGTCGTGGTGTGCATCATAAACTGTGAAGGTGGGAAAACCAGAAAAAAAAAAAAGAGCAGACCCACCAAAATATTAAAATCAAAATCAAAATCAAATAATATTATTTGATCTACCTCAGCACAAAACTTAAATTGTCTGCTCCAATTCATTTATGCTTTGGCCTTTTCAGTGTGTGTTGTTGAGTAGCGTTTGCAAAGAACTGGAAGTTTTTATGTGATGTAAGAGGTGAAATTTTGAACATTACAACATTACATCTGAAATAACCCTGTAGTGCTCCCTGTAGGAAACCAGTTTAAGAAATCAAGTGAGGTAAAGGGTCAAGTGAGCAATCAATAAATAAAGTTGGAAGGAGAAAAACAGTAGGGAGGCAAGTCTACCTCAAGTAACGATAAGAAAAGCAGACAAGATGTCGGACTCTGTGGAGGAGTTTGACTGTGGGTGTGATAGGAGGCAAAGTAGTCATCAAACTGTCATCAAACATAGGAAACATGGGAATCCTCCCTTTTCTCCTCAACAGGTTAACATTAGTGACGAGTGAGGCAACAGACATGTCTGTGGGAAAACTGCAAACAGCTTTAAGATAGGATCAACGACTGCACTAAAAGGCAGTTCTGAAGGGCTTGTTAAAATGGTGTTGAAACAGTGAGGAGCACCATGCTTTTCCAGTAAACTCCAAAAGATAGCAAAGTCCTCTACTGTAGGTTTTCTGCTTATACTTCCCCTTATTGTTAAAATGGTTGAATGATATTTCATTAAAAATTACACCGTTCCTGTTTGAGTTTAAATACGGGTATAATGCAACAGAATTTCTGTTTCATAGGACATGTCAGTGTCTGAATCATGGGCTTAACAAATGTTAAATTAGAAAGCAAACACAAAAGATTGTGCACTGAACATTAACGCAAAAAGAAAAGTAACTACTGAAAATACACTGTGAGCATGGCACTGCAGTAAGTAGTGCTAGAAAAGGATAAACTGGGGTTAAAGTGAAAAGAAATATTGAAATTTGCACTTGCATGCTAAAGCTTTAGTTATCTGTCTTTAACTTTGTAGACTAAACTTATGAGATGTTGGCAAGTGTGCTGACTCACTTCTTACAGGCCCTTTGCACCTGGCCATTGTCTGAGGTCTGCTCTGACAGGTAGTAGCTATTGCTGCATGTTAACACACACCGCCAGTCCTCAAGGAAGTAGCCATCTGCACACTTAGTGCACGCCTCAATTCCTGTGCCTGAAAAACATGCAGACACACACTTCAGGAATGTTTTCAGGGCATTAAAATTAAATAATAAACAAAAAAAAACACGCTGACCTACATAATAAATATAAAATGTATACATTTAATAGAATTAAGACTAGAATTAAGACTAGCTGTTAAAAATCTTTTGACTTCCTACCTGCGCAGGTGGCACAGGCCCGATGACAGGGTTCACAAGTCCTTCTATGGCCATTGTAATAAGTCCCTGGGTCACAGGTCATCTGACACTTGTTTCCTTGAAGACTAGAAAGAGAAAGAGAAAAAGAAATAGAAAAAGATAGATAAAAAATAAGTTAAAACAAACAGATCGTTTCCTTTAATTAGCAACATAAAATCCACACAGGCAGCAGCTCAGGGAAAAGCATGTTTCTCATGTTCCCAAACTATTTGCTCCAAATTAGTTAAAGCGCCTTTTAATTTGTTTTAATGCCTTTTAAAAGCCAGCTGCTGCTGAGCAATTATTGTAGAATATTCTTTCTGGGCAAATATTTAGGACGAATGGAAAAAACAAAAGTATTATTAATATACAAGAGATTTTGCAAGAGCCGGGTGTAGAGATACATGTAGGCTAGGAAGTAGGTTATAATATCAGTTCTGTGAAGTCACAGTGAGCACAGGTTGGTGAGCTTGCTGCCCTAAGCTGAAAAACAGCTGGTCTGTGTTAGCTAACGTTTCCCAGAAACGATCTCGTCTGGTCCCCTCTTCCTCCTCCTCGCCTCCTAACCGACCATGCACCATTCATGGTCTGAACTGAATGGGAAAAGGGAGTCTGTGTGTGTGTGTGTCTTACTGTGGTCTCGCTGGTGTTCAGAGGAAATTATGGCTTACAAGTGTCCCCACCTCCACCTCTGGCTACACTGAATACTTAAAGCTGGGTTCAAGACCGCAATATGTTTTAAACACTTCACAAGAGTTTCCCTCATGACCCATATCAGCACTTTGAAACACCCTATCCTTTGTCAGGTCAAGTGTAGTTGGTGCGGTTTGCAGAGGCTTGCTGTGAAGTGGCCAGAAAATGAACTGGAACATGTCTGCATGGATAACTAAATGGTTCACATCAGAGGTTCTTCGGTTCTTCAAAGACAGATCACAACCCAAAATGGGCTACAGCTCCACTTCTTGTGGGTCTCCGCATGACATGAGTATATGTGGGCTTTAATAAGCCTGGATCACTGGGAAACACTGTTTACTTAATTTGGGTCCCAAGTGGAAAACAGTTGGGAAGCCCTGGTTTCACTGGTTCATGCCGCGAACCAAAACCACAACACAATGTGCTAGTCTAAATTAGAAATACTGTATTCCTTCAACATTATAGTGGATGAACACTGGATGTTTTTATCCTGAAACCACAAGAGTGACATTCAAGCCAAATTGGTGCAAAAGACAAAACCTGAGCTATTTGTATGAGTACGACAGAGGACTGACTGTAATAGATCTGCATATGGACAAGCTGTGATACTGTGTGACACCATGTTGTGTAACTTGCTTTTTTAATGTAGTTAAATTAAAGGTCCTGTGTGTAACATTTAGTATGATCTATTGGCAGAAATTGAATATAATATTCATAACTATGTTTTCATTAGTGTACACACGAATATAGGAATCGTTTTGTTACCTTAAAATGGGGCTTTTATACCTACAGACGCTGCTGACTGCCCTCCCAGGAGTCCGCTATCTTAAACCGCCATGTTTTTACAGTAGCCCAGAAGGGACAAACCAAACACTTGCTCTAGATAGGGCAGTTTCACGGCCACCATACTTACCCCTTTTGTGCTTGGAAGGGAGGATGAAACAAGAGCATTTTGATCTGCAACTACACCACTAGATTTCACCAAATCCTACACACTGGACCTTTAAACCATATATTTAGGTGAGCTGCATGGGGAACCTTAAGGGCAGCTGTGGCTCAGGAGCTATGGTGCTTTGGATAAAAGTTCATTTTGTTTGCAGCAACTATACAGTTACTGTGGTGAAAATGTCAACACTGTAATCTATTATGTAGCAACAGGCACAGTAAGACCGAAATCTCTTACTGTCAGGACAGTACATTTCTCAGTGCTTTAAACTCCCTATCAGTGTCTCTGCTTAGGCATTGCTCAGCGTGGCTCCAAGCTTACCTCATCCCTGGTTTGCATTCTGTGCAGATATTGGAGGTGGTGCACCTCCTACAGTTCTCTGGACATCTCCTGCAAATGTTGGAATCTGAAAGACAGTGGGTGAGCCAGTCATACACAGTGGCTAATGGGATCCAGAGGTCTCGTTGCATTTGAAATGAAGAAAGGGAGCAGAGTAGGAAGACAATGATCAAGGGGAGGAGAAAGGGCAAAGTAAGTGAGGAAAACCAGTAAGAAAAGTGGAAAGGGAAGGGAGGGAAAATAAGTAGAAGAAAGGGCAAATGAACAAAACAGAAGGACTAAAGGCAGAAGGAGAGGGAAGAACGGAAATGTCAAAAGGTTAAAGCTGCGGGGATGAAAAAGAAGATTGTAGTGTTGGTGAGGGAGGAGAGGAATGTAGATGAATATTTCAAAAGGCAGACTTAAGGCAATGACACGCTTTGACACAATGCACATGGACATTTCTGCCTTCAGCACCGATGAGGATTGAAAAAGGATACGGGAATAATGTGTATTATTATTGCTGGGAAATCATTGAGTGCAGTATGACTATTAATCAAAACTGCTATTTCTACATTTCCGAAAAACTTTGCTTATGTATGACACAACCTTTATGGTTTTGTTTGGGAAGTCATATGGTCAGAGCAAAGAGGAGGAGACTGCGAGTAAGTGAGGATTGTCGGTTAGATTTTCAGGAATCTGAAAATCATTACAGGGTGGATACAGGATTCAGATAGCTTTCCGTTAAAAGAAAATGCACTTTTACATGGCTTTTTGAGTGTTACTTTCCCATTTCAGATGAGAACTGGAGAAAATTCATCAACATTTTCTACTGAAATATAAAGATTTTTTTTTGCTTTTCTCTGTTTTATATAATTGTATGAAAAATGTCTTTGGATTTTTACACAAAACAAGCAATCTGGCCTTTGGCTGTGGGAAATTATGATGGGCATTTTTAAAAAATGTTTAATCAAAAATAATAAAGAGATAAATCCACAAGGAATTAGTTGCAATCCTGGTTGAAATGTCTTTATGGGTCTGTGACATTTCTATCTACATCCGCTAATATCAGTCAAATATCACACTTGATTCAGTTTATACCACACAATATAGACATCCTGTAGCTTACATTACTTTGTCCATAATTAGGTGGGTATCTCTAAACAAAAAAATACAAGTTATCTTGACCAGTAATGAAATTATTAAATGAACATGTTCATGTGTTAATAAAGGCAGAAATTCATCTGGCATTGCTTGTCAGACTGACAAAGAGAAGATAAACTCTAGATAGCTCATTTAACACAACACAATACTCTGCAGTGCCAACATTTCAAAAGAAAAAAGTATCCACTACATCTTGGCCCTTTGAAATGTTATGATTGAACTTGGATCAGATCACATCAGATCTGCTGCCAGAGACTCTGAGAGCTGCCAGGACTTACACTGCCTTGGCTGCAAACCAATATATAGACATAATTATAAGATATACATAGATTCAGCCTCTCATTCCTGCTTTACTTTCATCCAGGCTGGCATACATCTTGAACTCAAGACAAACCAGTAACTGTATATACTGCACTACTCTGTTTATTATAAACCAGTGGTCAACAGAAAGAAAACAAGCTGCCTTCTCATAAACATAATCCATACACAATCCTTCTGTAGATCTGTTTTATTTCATGATTTATTCCACTTTAAACTGACGAATAAAATCTACTTACTAGCACAAACTTTCCAGTCCTGTTCGGTTCAGCAAGTGCATGAAAATAAACAACTGACTAGACGTTACATCAATGATACAACAGCATCATTCTAAGGTAATGAATGAAAGCAGCTTTGTTGATAGTTATGGCCATTTTTGTGATGCAGGTCACACAGATGTTTCTAGAACTTTTTGGGGGGCAGGAAAGTGACAATAAACTTATTATACAAATTATTCACCCTGCGTGAGCATGTAGAAATCATGGCCTCGCCTGATTTAGTGTTGTTGGGGGCTTTTTTTATTTAGTATGCCCAGAACTGTTAAGTTAAGTTAAATTTAAATGTTGGTTGTTGAACAGATGCAAGGGAGAAAACATGTCGGGAGAAGCTTATAAAAACCACAAGCTGGGACAAAGAACGATGCAGTGAAACGTACCATGGTCGAGGTAGAAACCGTCGGCACAGTTGGCGACACAAGTGTTGGAGCCCTCGCTAAGGTGGAAACCAGTCCTGCATGTGGTGCACTGGTCGCTACGGCTACCAACGCAGGTCTCACACAACGAGGAGCACTTCTTGCAGCGCTTCCTGTCGTCACGGAAAAAGCCACTGGGGCACTCTGACACGCACATCCTGGAGAAAGATATGATTGAAGGGAGAGACAAGTGGGGCACAGGGTGAAAGAGAGTGTCATAAATTGAGCATGGAATTTAAGTTGGAGTGTACTCTGACTGCAGTCTGCTTAAACACTATAGACAAAATTGACCTCATTGTTCCATGATTAACAACCTCCATCACACAGCTCAGTATAATGTTAACAGGCTCAAAATGTAAAACATATGTCTGACAAAAGTATTAAAGGCATAACATATTGTGTGCAATTATAAATATAAGCTCAAGTAAAATATAGTTTTATAGGACTAAAAGAGAAATATATTTTTTCATAATTACCCATAGTAAATGTAAACTTATTTTTCATGTATCAATAGCACATAATGAGTTGGGACAAACAGAAGTAGAGTGGCCAAGTGTGTGCGTGCGGGTGCTATATGGTGAACAGGTGCAACATCTGTTGGATAACTTCACAGCCCTCCGTCACCCCCTCATTTCACCCTGAGGCTCCCTTCCTTAGGTGAAAAAGATCTCCAAAATCCTCAAGAGCACAAAATACACACACATGCACACACTCCTTAAGACTTATTCACACATTACTGAGTTTTCTGCCAAGAAACACACATTGCACGTGTGAAACACATAATCCACATGTGCACAGACACACTGCCATGCGCTTGTCCTCTGACTTCAATGCCTTTTGTCTGCTATGCTGAAACGTTTATTTACCCAATAAAGATAATGGAAACAGATAAATGTAACGTCCACCCCAAGGACACCACTGAATGAGAGAAAAACGTTAAACAGCACTTCCCTGACCACATTGTCAGTGCAAGCAGATGTCAGTAATTGAAAGTGTATGAAATTCTGATAGAGAATTTAAAGGAACATTTCAACATTTCCTTTTTCAACACAACTCTTATTTTGTAGTTTTCATCATTCCTATTAGTTATGATTATGTTTGTAGTCACAAAATTCATTACTAACATCTGGGGAGGTGGCAGCATTTGCTTCAATAGAGCAAGAAACACAAGCAGTCAGACAATCACAGGGGTCGTAAAGAAACACACATTTTAGCCACATCATCAAAATCACTATTGGTGCAGGTGAAAATAAAAATGTTAAATATATTACTATTTGAAAATTGTCAAAATTGATAGAAATGTTAGAAAATTCCAGTTCTTTCGAAATAAACTGAGGACTTACTGCCTGAGACTTTCTAAAATTCTGGCTTTAGCCGTGGATACAATGTACACACATATGTGCTCATAAACAGTGCTGAAAAAACCTACAAAGACCCACACACACCTTTTGGTGAGTCTAGACCATCAAACACATATGTAGGGATGTAATTATCTGAACATTAAACACCACCGCCATCCCTCCTCCTTCCTCCCACCACTCCCCCAATCTTCATTCATCAATTGCTCCCTGTGGTGGCAGAAAAGGGCAGCACACCTCTTAAGTGGGCTAATGATAAGGCAGAGCCTAAGCTTGCACATTCTTATGCACCTGCATTGGTTTGTCTTTTATTAGTGCAGAGACCCGTCGACACAAAGGCAATTACAACAGACTTTGATCCTAATGGGATCCTAAGGGCAGACACAAATGTGCACGCACGCACACAAATTCTCACACACACACACACACACACAAATTCTCACAACACAACACACACACACACACGACACACACACACACTTTTAACAGGAGGGCAGAGACTGAACATGATATGGCCGACAGGAAACAGCATCTCTGTTATCACACTGTCAAAGTGCAACCACCTGCACTGTTTCTTAACCATATTCACATTAAGCTCACCAAATAACAGGGGCAGGAGCTGACCTGTGACCTTAAATAGTGGCAAAAGGAAATGTGAAGAATTCCAAATGAACCAGAGCAAGTTACAGCACTGATGGGTGTATCAAATCAGTGGCATGCTACAAAATCAAAATATGATTTCCTTAAAATTTAGAACAATTTAAAACTAAGATGACTCAGGGTCAGAATATTACAACAAGCTAGAGATTATGTCATATTGTCTTTTTAGTTTAACTACATAACAGTAGCAAGGTACTGTACATTAACTTGGTGCCTTTGAAGTCTCCTACTGTGGAAACATTTAAAAGAAGCTCAAGACACACTTGTTTACTTTTTTACTTTTATATTGTGTCCCTTTTGGGCCTTCTGATCCAGAAAGGTGCTATAACTTTGAGCCTGTCACCTTCATGGAAGAAACATACCTTGTGAATTGTTCTTAAAAACAACAAAATATAGGTAAAAACAAAGACGTTGGATTTCTTGTAAGAGTATTGTTAAATAACCTCTGATTTGGTTGTTGCAGGTCTGATAATTTGGTGTTGTTGTATTTACATAGCACAAAACATGGACAGCAAATTTCTGCTGGAATGCGGATTCTTAAATTAATTCATCTAAACTGGGCTGTTAAACGTTTCTTTGAGGCCTGTAAACACAATGCCTTGAGCTAATTAAATCCAGGTTTTGGTAGATTGGTATGCACCAACATTCACTTTACCTTTGTAAAACTTTCTTATTGAGACCCCCTCAGCTAATATTGATCCCTCTCTTAATTTGGTCGTCTCTGGACTCCCAGAGCAATTCTCACTCTTTAATACAATGAGATGTTGCTGAAATCACATACAAGCCAGGCGTATCTTCTATCTGTAGCTTTGTTGCTCGGATGCACTTTTTAAATTAAGAGAAAAAAAAAACAAATTGGCTCTGGTAGAGTCCACAGAGCGATTACTTTTACATCTTAATGTATACTTCTATAAGAATGGGAATCTATAAACTGTCTATTAAAGTGAGAAAAGTCAGTGAGACTAAGTGTAATTAAATAGCAATTATATTCCCAAATGTAACCATATCCATAAGCTAAAATATGTAAAATAGATGCAAAATAAAACCTAAAATGTGGGTTAAGTAGCAATTCTTTGATGTTTTCCAGCACAAGAACAATACTTTACTTAATACTGATTTCTTAGACAGTCTGACCTGGTGTTGTTCTTGAATTTGAGGAAGTAGTGGAGGCAGTTGATGCATTGATGAGGTCCAGGACCGTCACAGCGATTATCACTGCATTCAGAGTCACAGGCTCCTGGAGACACAGAGGTATCTGTGTAAAGAGGTGATGAACTTAGGAATATGTTTTATAGTCCAATAACCGTTTCACTGAGTTTATGGAGTTGTCAATTCTAATTTATTGCACGACTTAATAATACCCTTTTACCTTATGTGGCAGTACAACTTGTCATCATTGTTCATTGTTATGACAGGACAGTAAAAATAGCAGCTGCCAAAGAATTGCATTACTTTTTACTGCTGTTATTGTGGCTAACTGTTGGCCTCTGTTTATCGCTCTGGATTTATCACTTACCGTCGTACTCATAACTGGGGATATCAGTGAATGAGTCTGCGGAGCGTGGCTTATCGCTGCGTAGAGAGGAGTACGGGTGCACAGAGGTGCCATACAGCACCAGTGACCACTCCTTTAGCTTGCCTGAGGAAACAGAAGCATTGTAAAACTCCTCTTAGACACAGATCCACGGGGAGCAGCTTAAGAACATTTGATACTTATTTCATTTGTATATTTGATATAAAATAAAGCTGTGTCTAACATACGATTCATAGAGAGGGGTTTAACCATCTTTCACCTCTAGAAGGCATCAACAGAAAGAGCAAGAAACCCCATAATCTGAATTACTCTGTATTTTCAGGGTATTTTCAGCTACCATACGTACATTATATTACATTAAACTCTTAATGACACACATGGGCAAGCAAGGCACAAGTTACATGGTATTATAGTGATTGACATAACAGCTTCTTAGAAACTGCTACTCTCCATTTGAGACTTTATTATGTTGTTAAATTAGTGGGTCATTTGAGCAGTTAAGTTCACTGCCTCCAGAGCAACATGTGTGCTCCTGCTGGTCTTACACTCAGACCAGACTAAACTTCCTCCTGCATCTTCTATATCGCCCTTTTCTGTAAATTAAATCACATTAAAAAAAAACACATACACACACACACACACACACACACACACACACACACATACAAATAGCTATGTAGACTGATCATTCTTTTTTAATTTAAGAAATTAGTAACAGTGTCGTACCGGGCACTTTCTGGCTGCGGAGTTGAGAAGGTGAATCATAGATCTCTAGGACCCAGTCACCTGCTGCCTTTTCTCCCCAGCAGTGGGTGGTCATAAACTCCCAGTTCTTAAAACCCTCCATGGAGTGATCAAACAACCTGCACACACACACCCAATACAAACACACAAACAAAAATCACACAAAGATATCAGATGAGGAAACAACTCAAGTATTGCAAATACCAGTATAAACAATCGCAACCACTCAACCAAGTACAATCACAGTCTCTAATGAACTGTGGACAAACATTGTAAAGTACTTGTGGTTTATTTGAGGTGAACGCAGACTAGGTACAGTCAGTGCTTACACTACATTCAGTATCCACAGTTTAGCCACATTTTATGGTGTTTCAGCCAAAATTGTAAATAAGTGAATCCGCATTTTTAGAGAATAATGCAAATGTATTTAAATCAAATACAGAAACACCTCATTAATCCACCATAAGTATTTAACCCCATGAGTCAGAACATTTCTAATTAAGATTTCTTAAATTGCAGATCTCACAACTTGTTCTTTACCTGTTGGCAAGCAGCTGAGACTTAGTCCCTGAGGGTGAGGTCAGGTTGATTGACAGGTCCCCACGGCGAGGGTGTGTGATTGTTATGCGTACAACCACATGCTCCAGGTAGATCACATGGTGGTTAGGGTTGTCAGTGCATCCTGTCGCCTTGTACACTGACCGGACCACATGCTCTGGACGGATAGTTCTGGAGGACAGGATGGAAACCACTTAAAAAGGTAGACATGAGGAGAACATATACACTGAAACGTAAATGTTAATATTCACAGTTTGTTGTTTCTGGGAGTATTGATAACTTGCATCGATTAAAGACAATATTTATCACATTTTTAACATTGTTACATGTTAACCATTGTCGAAGATTTCCTTTTCAGTAACACACACACACACACACACACACAACAATCCCCTTAAAACTCACTCACAACCAGCTCTACTGACAAAAGGAAGGAAAACCAAACATATGGACATTTGTTGGGTGAACCAGTACATTTCACTGCAGAAAATATTATATAACGCTTAAAAACACGACAAAAAGTTAACAAAAAAATAGGGTGTAAACAGCTGGCTGAAGTAAAGTAAAACTGGTCATCATCTTCAAACACAGGATTTAGATGCTGAATGTCACTCTGTGTGCTGTCAGCCATTAGGTACCTGCACCTGTAGCCTGTTTGCTCTTTCAATAAGGTTGGGGACTGTGGCGGTCTCCCAACACTGAGACATTCTGCTCAGTCAACTCTATCCAAAAATTCTATTAGTGGGTGACATAACAGTCAATATCAAGTTTCAATACCCTCAGGCCCCCCTAAAAGCAATCACATGTACTTCTTTTTGATTGAACCACCTCCAGAAACAAGAGCATATTACGGTTTTCCATTTCCTAAACCTCAACCAGCCAAAGAAACCAAGAACCATGAGCATGATAAGAAAGACAAAGAACATTATTTGTTCTGTCAGCTATGCACAGCTAAGCAGCAGAAATATCTCTCAATAGCCAACGCAAACATTTAATGACCTCTTGAATAACATCTGCGGCATAATGAAATAAAATGCTGATACAATAACAAAAACAGTAAAAACATGTACAGGTCTTGTACAGGGGACAATAAATACCATCTTGCCAGAATGAGGCTTTGGAGAAAGAGTTATACATCTCTGCTACACAAAAATTGCAGAAGGAGCAGCTGAGCCAACTTTAAAAAGGGGCGGCTGGGAAGTAGAGCGGGTCGTCCACTGATCACAGGGTTGATCCTCTTGAGGCAAGACACTGACCACCAAATTGCTCCCGATGTTCAGACCACCACTTTGCGTGGTAGCCTGCTTCTATTGGTGTATGTGTTTGTGTGT